TTTATTAGTTCAACAAATAAAAGTTTGTATTCTTGCAGAAGAAAAAATTTTCAAATATTTATTATAACTATTATAACAATTGATAAAAATCTTTAAATGTTTATATAATTTTTTAATAAAATATTTTAACGTAAGTTTATATTATTACATTATTATAATTTTTTTTTGTACCATATTCGATTTCATTACTACACTGTAAATTTGTTATAATCAGATATCAGATACTTTCTATCATATGCGAGAAGCAGTTATAAGAATAAGTGGAAAATTAGTCAACTATTAGTAGTCAACCATTTGAAATCCATTTTTAAAGAATTTATAATTTCTTCTTATTTACATAGAAAAAAATAGTTGAGTAATTTTTTTATAATATAAGATTAGTAAAAATATTCTAGCTACTTGTGCAAATTTATGATAAACTTTACTTGCCTAAAAGTAAAAATATCGAAGGTATAAAATAAAATTTAATAAAAATAAAATAAAATAATAAAATAAAATTTACAATTCCATAAAATATACTAGAATTTACTAAATTTACTAGAATTTATTAAATGTTGTACAAATAAGTATACTCAGAATGTTATAATATCTTATATATAATATCTTATATAGTTGCAAATTATAATTTTTTCTTTACAGTTCTTTTTTAGAAGACATTGTTCCGGAATCTGATCGGATATCCAACTCGAAAAACTGCCTTTCCAGATATTCAACCGGTTATTGGATATCCGATAATTTTATAATCCGGTACAATTGTATCGTGTAGATAATAATCCTAATAATATTTCTTCTAAAACAACTCGATAAATCATACATAACATATGGCAATACATATCACTAATAAAAATTATTAAATATAATTTATAAACCCATTTAGGTTGATTATGTTCTCCGATATTTCCCTTTACATAATTTCAATAATTTAATGAACTGAGAGTTATCCTCTAGCTTTTGTTGGGATACTATTATCATGCATAACAACAAGATAATACAACAATGTATTATCTTGGGAAATATGTATGTAAAATAACAGTTTTCAATAAAATGCATATTTTACACATTAACACGCATTGCTAATCTGCTTGTTAGTAATTGTATAAATTCTAACACACGGAGCACTGTGTTAATTCATAAATCATTTAATTTCTATAGTTGTTATAATAAATTACATTAAATCTATTAAATAAAGATGTTTCATCTTAAAATTAATTACAATTACAATTTTTTAGAGATAATCCTATTCTGTTAGAATTAGATCTTATTAATATTTAAAAAAAAATATTTCTGTGTTAATTTATATATTCTTTAGTTGTGTAAACTGTGCAAATACTTCTTAAAACTAGTCTTGAACTAAAGTAGAAATAGTAATATCATAAATTAAATTATTAATTAATTAATTTGATAATATTAATAAACATCTTTAAAATTCTAAAATTTATTTTAAAACATTTATTTTAAAAATATTATACAAAAATAGTACTAATATAATATCACATATTTTTCCAATGATTAAATTAGTAAAGATATTCAATATGGATAGTGAAAAGGTCCCAGAAATCGTATTCTTGAAAAATATCGCATATGAAAATGTACAAAAATATTATAGGTAATTATGTGTATTATATGTATAATATAGATTTCGCTTTTTTGTATGCGATACTTTCCAAGAATCATAGACCATTTTGATTCGAAGACCAGTGATATTTTTAGCAAAAAATTCTCTACGAATTTTTTTCTTATCAGCGCATCAATATCATAATAAATGGATTATATTAATTTAATTTTTTATATTATTATTCCAACTTCAGTTCATGTTTGTTTCAAGATCAAAAATATTCGACGTGCAGAATTGGAAGATAAAATTAACACAGAAATATTACTAAAAAAACGTTAAAATCTCTGATCAAATAAATTTATTTCTATTTGTAATAAATTATGTAATATTGCCATCTTAATTGATATTATTAACAGCTAAGATTTTTGTTACGTGTTCCTACATCTAAAGTTTATCTGCGATGAATCTTTTTTCAGTAAAAGAATTTCAGTGTAAGAAATGGATAATTATCAACATTTTAAAAATATATTTGATAAATTATTTGTTTATATTAATCACACATTTTAATTTTGCAAATAAAAAATTGTATTTTCAAAATATTATATTTATTCTTTAACAGATTTATAAATGATTATAACTATTTTATTATTCTATTATTATTCTTTTATATGTATAGAAATGCAAATAAATATGGTAGAATTTTCATTTTATTTTAAGAAATATAACCAGTAACATATTCGCCCAGAATAATCAGCAATTTTAGAATATAATTTTTAAAAAATTCTAAAAAAAAACTTCACAAAAATAACAAATAAAAAGTAAAATATTAAATGCTAAATAAGATACATGTTAAACTATTCATAATATAATCTAAATTTAATAAGACGGCTAATAAATGGAAAAATATTTTTCAAATATATTTAGTTTAAATTTATACATTTTAAGATAATCGTTTAAAATAGAAAAATTTGATTCTTATTTACTTATGAAAGTCGTCTATATATTTATTATAAATATATATTATAGTTATTTCCGCCTTTATGGCCACATGAAGCCATTTAACCACAATTGTTGCCACTTTGGCAGATTCAGCCACTAGAATAACATTTTGAAATTTCTATTTATTTATATTTGTAATAAAAATAATTTCTGTTTTCTATAAGAAATTTAATAATATCAAATTCAAAAAACATTATTTACGACTATTGCAAAACTTGTAACGAGTCAGATTGTAGAATCTATAATGGTCCAACCATTACTAAAGCAGGTCCACTTGCAACGGATTCAATACGCTACGGACTTCACAACCAAAATGATTACAATCGTACTTGATATGAGTGAATAAAATTGATGCAATCACAACAGCCGCAGATGAAACAAGTTCTATAATGGCTATATGATTTTCTAAAATATCCAATCACGTCATTATGTCCGAGATTTCAAACGAGTAATATTGAAATTCTACATTAATCGAAATGATTATCATAACAATAGTCCCGAAAATCTGTGTAGAATAAGAGGACAGTTAAAATACATAATATTTAATATGAAATTGTTGCCTACTTTTGTCCATTCTTTCAAAGATTTCAAAATTGATAATATTAAATCAAAAAGAGAAACAACAATCAATATATATTTTTTAGGTATGAGAAAAAATTCGTGGCCTGTTTTTCCCGTTAAATGGCATTAAAAAAACGCCACGAACTTTTTCCCACACCTAATATATTTATCAGATATTTTTAACAATAAAAAAATTAGACTTTCTTTATTTATCCTTAAATTTCCTACGTATATTACATAATTATTTAATCACACATGTACACACACATGTACACATAAAAGAATGTATATTTATGTTAGTCGCTGTACAGTGACTCTGTATATAATTTTCTATCGTAATTTAGATATCGAATATTCTGTATTTACTTACTGTATGTTATTCTTACATAAGATATAGATAATAAGTTAACATGAGTATATATAGTTCTTGCAAGCAAGTACCATACAATAGTAAATATTCCTCTTTACACTTCAGAGCTACCTTCTTACAATCCTCTTAGAATATTGGGTAAATATTTTTAAAAATATGTTATATAAATGTTATATAAATATAAAATGTTTACAAGTAAATGTTTAATATACATATTAATGTATTACAATTTTGCTCTCTCTCATAGTTTTTATTAAAATATCAAGGAAAGAGACACTCAAAGAAATCTGTAACGATGGCTTCCTTAAAATACGTAAGTTTTATTCAGTAATGGTTATTTAACTATTGCTTGCAATTTTTACACGTTAATAACGAGTCAAAAAGTTTTTGAATATTATGTTTATAATTTTTTGGAGTTCCTTACACACACACACACACACACACACGCACACACACACACACGCAAACACACACACACCCACACACACACACACACACACGCGCGCGCACACACACACTTACTTTCGGCTCCTTCGAAATATTTTCTTTTTTAGTCGATATTTCTCTTAATTAATCGAGGAGAAAAGAATTTCAAAAATATTTTCGACAAGGTTAACTAAATTATAAATACCCCCCAGAAAATTATAAAGGCTAAGTTCAAAAATTTTTTGAAGATTACTTTAAAGATCACTTTTTAAATAAATATGATATATGTTAAGGTCGTATTTTCTTTACTAATGGTGATGCTAGTGCATCATTATGCTGAATCTATGGCTGAATCTATGATTTCAAAACTGGATGCTTCTAAGCGACAGGTAGAAAGAAGTATGTCTCTATGATGTCTATTAAATATACGTCTACAGGGTGTTCCGAAATTCGAAGGAAATGTTATTGCATGAAACTTTATGAACAATTAAGTAACAAAAGTATAAATCACTTTTTCTGTAAAGCAGTTTTTTTTAAGTATAAATGTTTAAAGTTTGACTAATTATAAACGTCACATGGACAGATTTTTTAACCAACGCTTATGATTAGTCAAACTTTAAACGTTTATATATAAAAAGACTGCTTAACGGAAAAAAATGGCTTATATTTTTATTATCTAATTTTTCACAAAGTTTCGCGTTACAATAATATTATCCTCCAATTTCAGGATATCCTGATACTTACAATAGAAAGTACATCAATTACTAATATCGATTTATTTTGTAGTTAAAATACCAAAGCCAGAAAAAGGTGAAGACAATTCAGGATGTGAACAAGAACATGAACATTCATGCGAAAAAAGAGAAAGTGAAAAAGAGAATCAAATAAAATCAAATACATATGAGTCAGGTAATGCAAGAAAATCAAATATAGAAAATAAAAATGACGAAAAGGATAAAAAAGATTGGTGAAAACGACAAATAGATATCATCTGGATCAATTGGTACAATACAAGAATCAGAAGAAGAGAACCTCCGTTTTTCCAAATGACAACTGAAGAAATATATATATAAGTCCTTGATAAATAATTATTAGAAAGCTTATATTCCAACTTGTCTAACTAACAAGCTAGCTAACTAAGAAAATATTACTTTTGTTTCTAATCTATATCTTTCTTTAATGAAATCCTATAAATATTAAAATAAGCACTAATCTTTCACTATAAAATATGATCATTTCTACGCACTTATAATTAAATAATTAAAAAAAAAATTAATAACCAAATAACAGCATAATTGTAAAAATAAAATAAAGATTTAGCAGCAAAATATTTTTCTCAATTTTATTTCGTTTACATAATAAAACATTTACAAAATAAAATAAACTATTATGATTAATTACTCTAAATATGAAAAGCGCCACTTGACGGTCAAAGTCAGATGTTGAGTTAATACATATACATATTCTTTAAATGAATTTATCTCAGAAATATGATTGCGCGCCGCGCAATTTTACTATCAAACTTTCAACACAACTATCTGAAACATTAATCATCTCTCACAAATTTAATCTTAAAAATCTTATTATTGTTATAATTAAATTAACATATAAACTGTAGATCATAAAAAATGCTCAAAAATGATATAACCATTAATATATGTATATTTAATATTAATGTAGAATTGCGAAAAAATCAACATTACTGAGATTAGTCTAAGCGTATTTTTCAAGATATCTCTAAGTTTGATATTTCAAACTTATCTCAAAGATGTATTTTTCGTACAATGATAATACAATACATTATCCAGCCCGGAAAAAAATTAGTGATATCGTCTCTTCATAAAATAATGCAAATACTGCATCGACTATGCTAACAGGTCCAATATTATGTGTGTGGTCATCAGTACAATAAAAATTATTAAAAAGTGACAATGTCTTCTAAAAAGGATCAATATTATTTATTTGGAAAATATAGAGTATTAAACTGTAAACTATTTTAAATAAGAAATTAAGAAACACTAAGTAATTTCAATTAAGAAATACTAAGTAATTTTAAAAGGAATCAGTCAACGACTGTTGTTTACTATTATTAGTATCACATGATGGTATACATATTCTGTTTTGACATAAGACAACTTCTTGTTGTACAAAATTATATTTCTGCGAAGAGTCGTCTCTGAAATAGTGATAAACATGTCATAACTTTCGCGGCCATAAGAATTAAATACAAAATACGAGCGTGCAGACGATGATGCGCTGGTACTATTGTATATAACACGGCATTTTGCCTTCGTCTGAACATGATTAAAAATAAAAATTAAAGGACAGGAATAAAATGTTACAAAACAAATGCGCATTGGGCTAGCAAGAACGAAAAAAATTCTCCGATATTCGCGCGAACACCTATTCTCTTTACGTGAAAGAGTAATTGGATAATTGGTATGGCGTTGAGGCAATTTCCGATGATTACCGAAGGAGGTGGACAGGTATCATCACGCAATAGAAACCTCGGCATCAATAGTGATACAATGGACTGCGAAATAGAGGTCGTTGACTGGCCGAATCAAACCCTATTAGCTCCTAAGATATATTATATATATTAAAACAGCTCTTGACCATTCAAATATTATTCGTTTGCCAATCCTGGTGCATAATAAATTGTCAACATAACTAGAAATTCTATTGATTTTTTAATATTAGCTTCTTTTTAATCAATTTTAATATAATTTATAGTAAGATGTTAAACTTATCAAGAATGTATGAGAAAATGTTAATTTCTTGATAAATTTTTCTTTTTAATGTTAGAAAAAAAATTTTTCTTTAGGAGCACTATATTTTAATTTACCATGAACGTATCATATATTTATATATATAAATGATTATATATAAATGAGCTGTAGGAATGAGTGTAGAGAGAGGCAGCAAGCAAAAAGTTTCATTCCAAAAGTGCAGTGCACTTTTTTTTTTGTTACATATATAATATAATAATGAAAAATATGCTGAATGACAAAGATCATGATGGAGATCGTAATCGAGATTGTGCGTATCTAAGATATCATTTTCGGAGATCTTTAGTTCATGTTGCCACGTGACGTGAATTACCAGTGTTCAGAATACGGTGGATGAGGTAATATCATTCATGCAGATCCACCGTGTTCTATTTGACAACGATGCTGTCGAATAGGCCAGTGATCAGAGTTGGAGCTGCGATAGGTCCAACTCTGGACGGAAGCCACTAACACATACAGGAACTAACAATCTTTGCTCTATATGGACCTGTATAAGAAATATATAAAGAATATATAATTTCTTTATTTGAAATACACACAAAATAAGGAACATGCGCATTTTCAATGTTCTAAACATAAATGTAATGATTCTTTAAACAAAGCTTATATATTTAAATTGGCAAATTCGGAACAAGCAAATATTGATCCATTTTTGTGATTGTGAATGAAATATATATTTTTTGGAGACATCAAAAACGCTAATTTTAGCGATAATACAAGTGGTTCTAGCATTTCCTTAAATTTGCAAAATACCGGTAATTATTTTTTACACTTAGTTAATAATTTAATTTTTTTATCGAAAATGTATTACGGAAAAAAGATTTATCGTGAATAAATTTCAGAAGCTGGCTGCATTCGGATTGGGCATACGCTTCATAAACTTTATTCTATCTTTCTTCCTCATATATCTAATGAGTGTGATAAAGATACAACAAAACTTACGGCGCGTGAATGTCGAATCAAACGCAGCCAAAGTTTAAAGTTGTAATAAATTTTTTTTTAGTAATATATTTTCAATATAAAAAATTAGTAATTAATAATATTTTGAAAATATATTTGAGAAGTAATAAGAGTTATTTCTGTATACACCTACATACTAAGATTTTGTCCAAATATTAAGTAAAATTATATTTTATAAATGTTGTCATGTTTATTCTGTAACCGGACTGAAAAATGGACAGAATGGTTTTCATGGAATGGATAAAATACGATAACGAATAAATATGGTAAAATTTTAATTTTATTTTAGAAACTGTAATTAGTTAAGACATACTTATTTATCGTAAAATAATGATAGCAATTTTAGTATATAATTTTTAATAACTTTTAAAAAAACTTGACAAATAGAATGAAATATTAAAGCCAAATAAGACACATGTTAAATTATTTATAATATAATCTAGAAATTAATTAAAAGATGGCTATATAATAGAAGAATATCTAAATGTGTAAATTTATGCAATAACTTAAGATAATCAATTGAGACAGAAAAATTTGATTATTGTAAAAGTCGTTTATATATTTATTACGAATACTTTTGTCACCAGATGAATTTGACCATAATTTCATTAATAATCGTAACTGGTGCAACGATCGCTCTCGTAAACTCAGCCACAATACGCGACGTTATAATTAATAATATTTTGAGATTACTATTTATTCATATTAGTAACAAAAATAATTTCTATAAACTGTAAAAAATTTAATATTCGAATTATTTAAGATTAAATAAAATAATAAAAAGTTATATATATTATATAATAAGAATCACAACTGTTGCAAAAATCTGTAACAAATCAGATTACGGCCGCGGAATTTGTAGGTGACTCAGTCATTACTGCTGAAGCAAGTCCAATCAATTAAGTCCTGCAGTGGACCCAACTATTGCAGTTACGAAATTACAAGTCGATTACAATCGCAGAACTCGATGCACGTTCGACGACGGCGACAGAAGGTAAAATTGATGCAACCGCAGGTACAACAGGTTTTGCAACAGCCATTTTCTGAAATATTCAGCATATCTACGTCATTATGTCCGAGATTTCAATCAATAGAGTGAGGTTGAAATTTTGAATTAATCGAAATGACTATCATTACAACGATGACAAAAATCTATGTAATACAAAAGGATAGTTAGCATGAATATTTAACATGATATTTAATATAAAATTATTTTCTTTGTTTGCATCCTTTTTTCAGAAATTTAGAATTAAGTTTACTAAATCAAAAAAAAAGAAACAACAATCAATACACAGAAATATTTATAAGATCGGATACACAAAAATATTCTAATCAACGATAAAGAAAATTACATTTTCTGATATCTATTTTTCTTGAATTTTCTACGTAAATTGTACAATTATTTTATCACGCACAGAGACGAATTTATACTTAGAACAAAAGTGTTTGTCATCGCTATTGCAGTAGTTCACATATATAACTTTCTAGTAATTTAAATATCGAATTCTATATTTATATAGTCTACACTGAAAAAAAAATTTGTTCAACGAACTAAACACATTTAGTCATTTGCGGATTTGTTTAATGCAACAAATTTTGTTCAATCAAATTTAACTGCAGTCTGCTCAACAAATTGTTCAATATTGGTTAACGAAAATGATTCAACCATTTCATTTGGTTGACGAGATTATTATTATTTAATAGTCTTAAAAATAAATCAGTTACTAGTGTTGTTATATTTATTTGGATAATCTCACAGAGTCAATTAAATGCGTTTATAGAGAGACATATATATATTTTATTATTTTAAATGCGAGAATTTGTTTGAATGAATTTTATTATATGAAATAATTTTCATAATTATGTATATTTAAGACAATCAAATGTTTTATCAAATAAGTATATATTCTACAAGTATATATTCTTGTATAGACGAATTCTTAGGTAAGACTAACCCAATCCATTATTAATTGAAATACATGAGAAGCTTAAATATTTAATTACTTTAACTGTGCATAAATTTTGGAGAAGAAACATTTTTCATAAAATACGATTTTTGTTGGAAAGTAAGACCGTTAATATGTTGGATCAAGTTTTAGATTGATAATGCGTAAACAATATTAACAATGTCAATCAGCGTTTATTTAGTTACAATAAACATCTTAACTTTCGAAAACTTCTAAGTAATTTTGATTATAAATAGTATTAATTGAACTCTATCTTCAAAGTAAAACTAACTCTGTTTGGCATGATGTGTGTTATTCAGTCAATTCAGCTTGAAAAAATATATATAATCAGAATTACTTCGTGATTTTGAAAAGTTAAATAGTTTGCTGTGACTAAATAAATTGATTGATTTGACATAATACCTTATTCACGCATTAGTCCAAAATTGTTGATTCAACATATTAACAACTTTACTTTCTAATAAACAATTATTCATGTTTCTATTTCTTCTATAAGAATTATCCGTGTAATAATAATATAATATACTATCCAATCTGGGCAAAAAATTAATGGCACTGCCACTTTAATACGAAACAGCAAAGTGCAAACATAGCATTTGACTATATGGTATCATATCAGAGAGTCCAACATTATGGTCATAAATCAATACGAAAAAAATAATTAAAAAGTTGCCTTCTAGAAGGAATCAATTTATTATTTATTTCTAAAATCCACAATATGCAATAAGTTTTTTAAAATCAATTAAAAAGCTAAATCTCAAAAGGAATCAGTCAACAAAATATTCTTCATCAATTTTATGAACATGCAGCACACAATTAGATCACGATCCTGCACATTTTTTTTTCTTCAAAAAAAAAAGGGGAGCTTTAAGAAATTAGTTATAATATTTACAATTTTTTTGAATACACAACCTTACAAATATTTTCTAAGATGTTACTTGTACATATAAGAAGAGCTTACTAATTTTTTTTGTTATTAAAGTAGTGAAAATTAACCTAGACCCATTATAGAATAAAGAACCGCAAAATTAGAATTAATGTGTACTAAAAATTATCACATGTTTGATCCCACCCTTTTCTGTTTTATATATAACAGCATATTCCAGCGAAGATTTCAATCTGGTTTGCTTTTTAAGAATTTATATTTGTTGCACAAAACTTTGTTTCTATAAGCATACAGTCGTCTTCGAAATAATAATACGTGTGGAAGCGTGAATGTGTCATCATTTTTGCAGTCACAAAAACTCAATACAAAATACGAGCGTGCAAACGGTGATGTACTGATATTATAATACGACATTCGTCTGATCGTGATTAAAAATAGAGATTAAAAAAACCATGCGTAAATATTCTAGTATAACTGCGCATTGAGCTAGTAAGTCAAAAAAGGAAACATTTCGATACCCGCAAATCCTATGTCGACCTATGTCCTTTACGAAATAAAATACGCAACTGATTGGTATGGTGTATTGAGGCAATTTCTGAAAATTAACGAAGGAGGTGGATGAATATTATCGTGCAATAGAAACTTTGGCATTAGAGATGACATAATAGACTGCGAAACAGAAGTTGTTGATTGATTACGCCAAACTCTATTAGTTCCTAAATAGATGTTATACATGTCAAAACAATGGCTCCTGCTCACTCAAATTTTATTTATTTGTCAATATTGCGTCGTATAATAAATTCTCAAAACAATTAGAAACTGTATCATTTCTTTAACATCAAATCATTTGTAATCAATATTAATATTATTTATTGTACGATATAAAACAAGAATGTACGAGAAAGCGTTATTCCTTGATAATCTTTTTCTTTTTAACGTTACAAGAAAATTTTCCTTTAGGAATACTAGATTTTGATTTACTGTAAATATATATATTTACATATAAACCAGCTATAAGAAATGCATAGGAAAGGCAACAGATAAAAAAATTTCCAGGAGTGCCATGCATTTATTATTATTAATGTAACGTTATATACGAAACTTTGTTATGTACATATATAAGAAATACAGTGATGAATAATATGCCGAATGATGAAGATCGTGATGCAGATCGTGATCGAGATTGTATGTCTAAGAGATCAATTGCAGAGGTCCTTAGTTCATGTTGCCAGATGACGTAAATTACCAGTGTCCAGGTGCATATCCATGAACGATATTACCTAATCCACTGTGTCCAGCAGAGATGCTGCCGGATGGACCAGTGATCAGAGCTGGAGCTGCGATAGGTCCAGCGAGAGCCGCTGGACCTGCAGCAGGACCAGCAAGTACAGCTCCATACGAACCTATAATATATAAGAAATATAAAAATTATAATTTATTCATTTAAAATACAAAATAAGGGATATGCGCATTTTCAATATTCTAAACATAAATGTAATTCATTAAATAAAAATTTCTTATATATTTAAATTGGCAAATTCAGAATAAATAATTATTTTGATCCATTTCTGTGATTAAAATAATATATTTTTTTGAAGACAAAAATAAATTTTATTGTTAAAATAATTATTTAAAATATATTTGAATAGTTTGAAGTTAAAGGAAATCCAGATTAAATCTCTTATTGTTATAACGAAATATTTTTGAGTCAAGAAATTATACAATAAAATCAATTTTTTTAAAAGAAATTACAAATAAAAAATTTTTTTCAACTGAATTCTCTAGAATATGTGTCAAATAAACAAAAATTCTATTATTTTTGTATACTACACATATAGTTAAATTTTGTCTAAATCATTCCTGTTCAATTTGAGCTTCGAGCAAAACCGCAAAGCCATCGACGCAAAAAAATTCAATGTAAGATTTCAGGGAATGTAAAATATTGATAAGCGTCGTTCAGACGCGTATCAACACTTTACAATCTTTGAAATCTTATCCATATTGATTTTGAAAATTAGACACAGGCGTGGTCTAAATTAAATATTAAATAAAACTGTGTGTGTGTGTGTGTGTGTGTGTGTGTGTGTGTGTATTTCCAAAATATTATTTTATAAGTTAAAAGATGGTTATAATCATTTTTATGTGTGTACAAAATGCGAATAAAATTTTTATTTTAATTTAATAAATATAATCAGTAAAACGTATTTGTCATAAAATAATAATTTTAGTATATAATTATATATAATTTTCAGAAACTTCTAAAGAATTTCGACAAATGTAATACATCTGTAATAAGTAACAAAAAATAAAGCAAAATAAAACACAAGTTAAAACTATTTATAACACAAACTAAATTTAGATTTCTGTAAATGAAAGAGTGTTGTCTAAATGTTTAGTTCAAATATTGCGATAATCGTTGGAAACAGAAAAATATAATTCTTATTTGTAAAAATA